AAGAGATTGAACTTCAAACTGATTAATTTTCGACCAACTTTAAGTGAAAATAACAGTGATGGTTATCATCACTGCAGAAAATGAAGTAGCCAACGAACGAAAATAAGCCGAAATATTTTTATATTGAAATTTTATAACTTATGATTCGATGAATTTTATTGTCTAGACTGGATGCTACAATTTTAAATGCAAAAATGTAATAAGACAATTCTTTTGCAGGAGATTCACACGGTAACAATTTATCAAGGCTTGTGATGGTGCCATGGTTGTTCCTGATCCTGATTGTCACTGCAAGTTTCACTGCAAACCTCACTTCCATGATAATTACTTCAAGACTTGTTCCATCTTCAGTAGAAGTTGGATATTTGAGGAGTACAAATGCAGCTGTTGGGTGCGATGGTGGTCCTCTCAGCCTTGCCTACTTACAAAATGTTCTGGGTTTCAAGGCAGAAAACATCAGGGTCATGTTTTCAGTTGATGAATATGCAGAAGCTCTAACAAGCGGAAGGATAGAAGCAGTTTTCTTGTTGAGCCCTTACGCCAAAATTTTGCTCGTGAAATACTGCAAGCGCTTCACTTTATCAGGACCTTCATACAACCTTGGTGGTTTTGGTTTTGTAAAATAATCCATAAGACCAATTTCTAGATTTTAATTCTTGGTTTTAAAAAATTAATGACAGTTGGTAGGAATTTTAGTTTTTCTTCTTTGCTGACTCTGGATCTTAAACACTGATCATTGTACAGGTATTTCCAAAAGATTCTTCTTTGTCTTCAGACTTGTCAGAGGCAATCCAAAATTTGACTGAGAGTGGGAGTCTGCAACAGTTAGAGGATCAGATGCTTTCACTTCTCAATTGCTCCATTTTAGAGACTGATAGCACCGGAGACCAAAGCTTGGGACCTACACCTTTCTCAGGCTTATTTATTCTCTCAGGTGGTGTTTCTGTAGTTGCATTGCTTATTATCATTGCTGGATCATTGAAAGCCCACTTTCAAAGAATGAATAACTTCCAAGTAACATTAATGGAAACAAGAATTTGGAGATTGGCAGCAATGGTACTAACAAAAAATGGCATTAGAACTGCTCCAACTTCAACTTCACAAGAAAACTCTGCACAAGCGGCTCAACAAATAGATGACAATAAGGCTCTTCAGCTCGTGAAGGTAACTCCATAAATTTATCATACGCTAGACGCTCTGATAAAGAAGACTTGTAGATTGCATGTGTTATATGTAGCGTTTGGTTTTTATTTTTTAATCAATTGAACGTATGAGAATTTTTCATTCAAGAAGATGGAAAATATTCTATAAATTTCTCCTTACTCCTCCCAAAACTCCTACGGCAAGATGACTTCCCTGAAAGTATGGGATCTTCTTCTATAATTAAGCTCCAATCAATTTTGATTCTCTATTGTTTATGTTATAAATACTTCATTTACTAGATTTCTAAAACTTGAAGTTGACTCGAAAATGACAGAATTATTAAGATACCCATAAGGGAGAAACACATGATTGAACAAAACAATACATGATCATATCATTGAAATAAAGAAGTAATTTAATTACTAATTGGGTTCTGCCGACTATATTATTAGGCATCACATTAGTGGTTGAAAATAATTATTACATTATCTTTGAAATGTAAAATAAAGACATGGGTCATGTGACATGATGAAACATTTTATGAAGAAGGGACCATTATGCTTCATAGTATAGTTTATACAGTTTGTCTTAGGTTACAATAAGGGGTGGCCATCATTGTGGTGCAATTACTCCTAGACGTATTGGACTGGAGCTAGCCATTTCAAAGAAACGAATCCTTGCCTTTTGGCAAAATATTTTTTCCTAACTGTCTCTTATAATAGACACCATCAAATAAAATTTCATGCCTAACTTGTTTCAATTTTTAGAATTTCTTATCGTATTTAGAGAATTTAAGATTTACATAAAGCCAATTTAAGGGGGAGAAGCCGCATTAGTTAATGAAATGGAGAACCCTGGTGAACAAATACCTATTGTTTAATTAGGTACAGCAGCATAAGCCCATTTAAACTGTCAATACCAACACGGCGCGTGATCCCTATGGGTGATGATATCTCTATGCATATGAGATGCATTGGAGCCATTATTGACTACTTCCAGTGGCAAAAGGTGACAGTTATATATGAAGATAGAAGTTCTACACAGCTGATTCGAGCATCATCACCCTTCTTTCTGATGTGCTTCAAGATATTGGTGCAGAGCTGGGTGTTTCTCAGCTTTCCCTGTACTTTTCTCTTTTAGACCCAAAACCACATCCAGGAAGAGCTGAGGAAACTGATGAACAAACAGAGCAGAGTTTTCATAGTTGTCAAGCATCATTGTTATTACAGCTCTGCTGTTTGAACAGGCCAAACAATTGGGAATGATGGATAAAGGTCATGTGTGGATTATCTCAGATGGCACCACCAGTCTTCTTGATTCCGTGAATTCATCTTTGATCACCTCCATGGAAGGTATTCTCGGTTTCAAAGCATACTTCTCAGACTCGCTGCATCATTCAAAACATTCAAAGCCAGGTTCAGGAGAAAGTTCCTATCGAATATCCTGATGAAGAAGAGAACCCTGACCCTAGTATCTTTGCTCTTCGAGCGTATGATGCATTTTTAGCCAAGGTAAGCACGGAGAAGAGAACCCTGACCTTATCATCTTTACTGTCAAATATTTATCAAGCAATTTACCGGTTTGAGCGGTGTAGTACACTTCAGGGACAACCATAGAATAAGCAGATACCTGCTTTTCGGATGTAAATGTAGTTGGCAAGAGGATAGAGAAATGGGATTTTGGTCACCAAATTTTGGTTTCTCAAAGAAACTTATCATCATTTAGATGAAAAAGAAGAAGAAAGCAACGCGTCTTCTGAAGTACTAGATTCAGTGTTTTGGTCAGGTGGTAATTTTTGGTCCCAACTGGCTTGATGAAGTTGTCTCTTTCGGGTAGCAGTGGCACCCTCTGCGGCTTTGGTACCTGTAAGTTCCAATTTCTCTGAATACTTGAGGAGATCAGTGACGTATGACAGAGAACGAACACCACCTACTTCTCCGGCTTAGCAATTGATATCTTCAGGGCAATTTAGAACGTTACCATACTCCTTAACTTATGAGTTGTTCCGTTTCTGATGGTTCTTATGATCGTATATAGATATAGAAGAAAATCTTCTTTATTTATTCAAATATTATACGAATGAAATAAAGAAAATGAATATTTTACATAGTACTTTTGATCGAAAAATCAGCCGGATTTAATTTTGTAATAAAATGGATTAGCTTCTCTAAAGTCAAAATGGGACTTAAAAAGAAATGATGGCAGGGAATAAAATAAAAAAGGAAAAATATATATTATTAAAAGATAAAAGTATAAACTTAAATAATAAGACTTAAGTTTCGACGTATTCATTATATAAAATAAATAATGGAATAGAGATGGAAAGAAAATTCTTATAGACGTTCTAAATTCCAACTTCAATTTCCTACCGGCTAATGATACTATGCTCACAAATTTCCTCTTACAGCTGACGTGACATTTGAGTTGGCATTAACATATTAATTGGATAACTTTGACTAAACATGAATAGTTATTTTCTAGGGACGAATAACCAATCAATTATAAGGAATGATTATTCCTTAGGGACGAATGACTGTTCATTCATAAGGAATATCTATTATTTATAAAGAAGTCATTCCATAAGAAGGATTGAAGGAATGGTTGTCTCTTCTTATGGAATGGTTATGGTTGTTCCATAAGAAGGAACATTGATTCTTTATGGGAACGAGTTCGTCCTAAAAAACGATTGTTCCTTCATAAGGAATGGTCGTTCCCTATGAAGGAACGGTCATTCATCCCTAAGAACGATCGTTCCTCCATAAGGAATGACTCATTTGTCCCTAAGAATGATTGTTCTTTCATAAGAAATGATTGTTCCTTATGAAGGAATGATCATTCATCTCTAAGAAGACTGTTCCTCATGAAGGAATGACCAAATGATTATTTTTATCGTAAGGAACAACCATTCCTTTTATGAACGATTGTTTCTTAAGTTCAGTCAAAATCATTTTGTACCTTCAGTGTGATAAAACTATCATATCAGGGTTTATAAGAGAAGTTTATGAGATTCGTTGATGAACCTATTTTTATTCTTTCCAAAATTAAATATGACAAAATTGCTTAAATAAATAGCTTTTGATGCAAGTTATTGACTCGCTTCTTAGTCAACATCTCAACCAATACGGTTCCAATATATTATAGTAACAGAACAGGAAATTGACAAGAAACATACATAGAACTTTCCTCTTTTATCACTACATAGAAAGTCTATATATCATGGATGGAAAACATATGGGAATTTTGCTAAAGTGAAAAGAATGGACGGTGCTCTTGTTTGTTTCTCAGTTATTCTGGTGTCGGTGCTTAGCTCAAGTTCAATGGCCGTTGAAGGATATGATCAGCCAGTAAGCTTGAGGGTTATTGGTACTATAGGTGTCATTACAGATAGCAGTTCCCGGGCAGGTAGAGAAGAGAAGATAGCAATGGAGATAGCGGTTGATGATTTCTACAACTTGACCGGTAATAAGCTGGCTCTGGAGCTCAGAGACTTGTCTGGGGTCCCTGCCAATTGTAACAAATCCCACATTGGAAGCGTATTGGAGAGATCTTGGGCTTATAAATGGGGGGAGTCCCTCCCCCTAATAGGTTAGCCTTTTGGGTGTGAAACTCCCAGCCCGTGACGAGTGGTATCAGAGCATACCCAAATCCGTCTTTCGATGTCCCGCCAAGCGCCCACGCAGCGGCGTCCACGTGTGATTGTGGGTCCACACGAGAGTGAGGTGGATGGGTAGGCAGGGGGCTCCACCTGTGACGAGGGCGTCACAGGATTGGATGGGGGAGAATATAACAAATCCCACATTGGAAACGTATTGGGGAGGTCTTGGGCTTATAAATGGGGGGAGTCCCTCCACCTAATAGGTTAGTCTTTTGGGTGTGAAACTCCCAGCCCGTGACACGATGCAATTTTACATAGTAAGAGTTTTTAACTCCAATTTGCTTATGTTTTGATTCGTTAGTAATTATTTTTGTTTGTCAAATTGTCTATGATTGTGATATATGATATGACCTTACAAAAGTCAGAAGGGAATTTAGAAAAGAAATTAGGATCATTTTAGATTTGCAAGACATTCTTAATTATATGCATGTAATAGTAGATATTTTGCATCAGGGATATGCTGGAGCTAGACAGAAGCATTTTGAAGGAGAAAGGCAAAATTATGTTTTCATTTGAGATGTGATCCGTAAATCCTCCTTGTTCTGCTTATTACTTGTCTATATATCTGTGCTGTAAAAAAACAATCCGATTTCTAATATTACTAGATATTGTTGTGTGAAGAAAAACTGAAGATTTTGGTATGTGTGGTTGTCAAATGGTTCCACACTTAATTTTATATAAGCTCATGTCTTTGCTTCCAATCGTGGTTGAGTTCAATGCTTTAATGGTTTACTTGTATATATCCATATTAGAAGCTAGTACAATGCTAAACATAGTGTTGCTGAATCTTCACACATCTATATACAGCAATTGATCTCATGAAAAACAGACGAGTACATGCAATTGTGGGTACCTTGACATGGCAGGAAGCCGCATTAGTTAATGAAATGGAGAACCCTGGTGAAACAGTACCTATTGTTTAATTAGGTACAGCAGCTATAAGCCCATTTAAACTGTCAATACCAACACGGCGCGTGATCCATATGGGTGATGATATCTCTATGCATATGAGATGCATTGGAGCCATTATTGACTACTTCCAGTGGCAAAAGGTGACAGTTATATATGAAGATAGAAGTTCTTACACAGCTGATTCGAGCATCATCACCCTTCTTTCTGATGTGCTTCAAGATATTGGTGCAGAGCTGGAGTGTTTCTCAGCTTTCCCTGTACTTTCTTCTCTTTTAGACCCAAAAACCACCATCCAGGAAGAGCTGAGGAAACTGATGAACAAACAGAGCAGAGTTTTCATAGTTGCTCAAGCATCATTGTCATTTACAGCTCTGCTGTTTGAACAGGCAAAACAATTGGGAATGATGGATAAAGGTCATGTGTGGATTATCTCAGATGGCACCACCAGTCTTCTTGATTCCGTGAATTCATCTTTGATCACCTCCATGGAAGGTATTCTCGGTTTCAAAGCATACTTCTCAGACTCTACTGCATCATTCAAAACATTCAAAGCCAGGTTCAGGAGAAAGTTCCTATCAGAATATCCTGATGAAGAAGAGAACCCTGACCCTAGTATCTTTGCTCTTCGAGCGTATGATGCATTTTTAGCCATAGGTAAGGCCACGGAGAAGAGAACCCTGACCTTATCATCTTTACTGTCAAATATTTTATCAAGCAATTTTACCGGTTTGAGCGGTGTAGTACACTTCAGGGACAACCATAGAATAATGCGGATACCTGCTTTTCGGATTGTAAATGTAGTTGGCAAGAGTTATAGAGAAATGGGATTTTGGTCACCAAATTTTGGTTTCTCAAAGAAACTTATCAATCATTTAGATGAAAAAGAAGAAAGCAACGCGTCTTCTGAAGTACTAGATTCAGTGTTTTGGTCAGGTGGTAGTTTTTTGGTCCCAACTGGCTTGATGAAGTTGTCTCTTTCGGTTAGCAGTGGCAAACCTCTGCGAGTTATGGTACCTGTAAATTCCAATTTCTCTGAATATGTGACGAGCTCAGTGACGAACACCAGCCACTTCTCCGGCTTAGCAATTGATATCTTCAACGCAATTGTAGAACGTCTACCATACTCCTTAGCTTATGAGTTTATTCCGTTTTCTGATGGTTCTTATGATCGGATGGTGGAAATGGTTCATCAGAAGGTCAGACTTCAAATTTATATTCTACTTTGCATCTATAAAAACAGAAAATTAGTATTATGATATTCTGGGGGAAACATTTGATAAAATAACCCAAGTTATTGTTGATTTAGTAATGCTCTTACTTTATTAGTTCTGTTATTCTTACATCAATGGCTTCTGTTTCTCTGTTCTGATAAGGAAGTATGCGTGTATGAAAGTATATTGATGCAGCTGTCGGTGATATAGAAATAACAGCAAATAGGAGCCGGCTTGTAGATTTTACACAACCGTATATTGATTCAGCGCTTGTGATGGTGGTAACAATAAAAACTGACAAGTCACAGGAGGCTTGGGTGTTCATGAGGCCTTTCACCAAGGGGATGTGGTGTCTAATGGCAGCAATGAGTGTGTTTACCGGCTTTGTTGTCTGGTTGATTGAGCACAAAACTAATGATGAATTCAATGGTTCACCTGTGCAGCAATTTGGAAAAGTTTTGTGGTTCTCTTTTACAACACTCTACCTGGGCCAGAGTAAGAGATTGAACTTCAAACTGATTAATTTTCGACCAACTTTAAGTGAAAATAACAGTGATGGTTATCATCACTGCAGAAAATGAAGTAGCCAACGAACGAAAATAAGCCGAAATATTTTTATATTGAAATTTTATAACTTATGATTCGATGAATTTTATTGTCTAGACTGGATGCTACAATTTTAAATGCAAAAATGTAATAAGACAATTCTTTTGCAGGAGATTCACACGGTAACAATTTATCAAGGCTTGTGATGGTGCCATGGTTGTTCCTGATCCTGATTGTCACTGCAAGTTTCACTGCAAACCTCACTTCCATGATAATTACTTCAAGACTTGTTCCATCTTCAGTAGAAGTTGGATATTTGAGGAGTACAAATGCAGCTGTTGGGTGCGATGGTGGTCCTCTCAGCCTTGCCTACTTACAAAATGTTCTGGGTTTCAAGGCAGAAAACATCAGGGTCATGTTTTCAGTTGATGAATATGCAGAAGCTCTAACAAGCGGAAGGATAGAAGCAGTTTTCTTGTTGAGCCCTTACGCCAAAATTTTGCTCGTGAAATACTGCAAGCGCTTCACTTTATCAGGACCTTCATACAACCTTGGTGGTTTTGGTTTTGTAAAATAATCCATAAGACCAATTTCTAGATTTTAATTCTTGGTTTTAAAAAATTAATGACAGTTGGTAGGAATTTTAGTTTTTCTTCTTTGCTGACTCTGGATCTTAAACACTGATCATTGTACAGGTATTTCCAAAAGATTCTTCTTTGTCTTCAGACTTGTCAGAGGCAATCCAAAATTTGACTGAGAGTGGGAGTCTGCAACAGTTAGAGGATCAGATGCTTTCACTTCTCAATTGCTCCATTTTAGAGACTGATAGCACCGGAGACCAAAGCTTGGGACCTACACCTTTCTCAGGCTTATTTATTCTCTCAGGTGGTGTTTCTGTAGTTGCATTGCTTATTATCATTGCTGGATCATTGAAAGCCCACTTTCAAAGAATGAATAACTTCCAAGTAACATTAATGGAAACAAGAATTTGGAGATTGGCAGCAATGGTACTAACAAAAAATGGCATTAGAACTGCTCCAACTTCAACTTCACAAGAAAACTCTGCACAAGCGGCTCAACAAATAGATGACAATAAGGCTCTTCAGCTCGTGAAGGTAACTCCATAAATTTATCATACGCTAGACGCTCTGATAAAGAAGACTTGTAGATTGCATGTGTTATATGTAGCGTTTGGTTTTTATTTTTTAATCAATTGAACGTATGAGAATTTTTCATTCAAGAAGATGGAAAATATTCTATAAATTTCTCCTTACTCCTCCCAAAACTCCTACGGCAAGATGACTTCCCTGAAAGTATGGGATCTTCTTCTATAATTAAGCTCCAATCAATTTTGATTCTCTATTGTTTATGTTATAAATACTTCATTTACTAGATTTCTAAAACTTGAAGTTGACTCGAAAATGACAGAATTATTAAGATACCCATAAGGGAGAAACACATGATTGAACAAAACAATACATGATCATATCATTGAAATAAAGAAGTAATTTAATTACTAATTGGGTTCTGCCGACTATATTATTAGGCATCACATTAGTGGTTGAAAATAATTATTACATTATCTTTGAAATGTAAAATAAAGACATGGGTCATGTGACATGATGAAACATTTTATGAAGAAGGGACCATTATGCTTCATAGTATAGTTTATACAGTTTGTCTTAGGTTACAATAAGGGGTGGCCATTATTGTGGTGCAATTACTCCTAGACGTATTGGACTGGAGCCAGCCATTTCAAAGAAACGAATCCTTCGCTTTTGGCAAAATATTTTTTCCTAACTGTCTGTTATAATAGACACCATTAAATAAAATTTCATGCCTAACCTGTTTCAAATTTTAGAATTTCTAATCATATTTAGAGAATTTAAGATTTACATAAAGCCAATTTCTGTGAACAACTTCTTGTTATTGAAAGTGTACTAATATTTAAAATAATAAATTGTATTAATAATTATATAATTTACTCTTTAATAAAAGCTCTCATCTTTTTTATTTATAATTTTATTTGTTGCTAAATAAGCATTTTTCTCACCTTTGACTTTGAGTTTACCATTTCTCCCGGATATTTTAGACCAAGTTTTTCGTGTCTTACAAGAATAATGTGAATTTAGCCTTTGGAGGATGGAATGCTGATATGAACCATACATTAATCCAAATGTGAAGAACATTAGACTCCATCAAATGTGATTTTTTTCTTGTCTGGTGTTCTATTCATATTTTTTATACCGCAAAATAGTTATACCCTAGTATTGTAAAGAAAAATGCCACCGACATCGACGTTTTACATCGAACGACGTGTCCACTGAATCAAACGAGTCACATATTACATTAACAAATATTTCGTGAATGAACAGTCGCCCATCAAATATGGACGACCGTCCATTGTTATTAGACTGCTGTTCATTTTAAATGGACTCCCGTCCATATTATATGGACGGTCGTCCAATTATAATGGACGCTCGTCCATAATTTAAACTAAAAAAATTTGAAAACAAAAATCATGATCACCCGTCCATATATTATGGACGGGCGTTTCCACTTAATTGATGGACATCCTTATTTTAAATTAAAAAAAAAAAAGTAACGGGTGGGATGGACGCCCGTCCAGTTCCCTATTTAATAGCACCTATTTCTGTACTTTATTTTCATGGAACCTGATTCTTCACTTTTTTTTCCATGACAGAATATTATTTCTAATGCAATAATCACCTCTACAACCATCACCACCATCTGAGAACCAGATCCACAAAAAGAGGTGATGAAAGTAAATAGAAATTGGAGTTTAGAAGAAGAAAATAGAAGGAAACAATTGAGATGGTGATGAAAGAAAGAGACGAGGAGCTGGCTTTGTTTCTTGAAATGGGAAGACGCGAGAAGGAGAAAAGTAATCTTCTTCTTCTTCTTCACAACTCTGACGACATCAATAGTAACATCAGACCCTTCTTCAATCTTCACAACTAATGGATAAGCTTCATATCCAACAAGCCACATCAACATTTTCAAGTTGGCCCGTCAACATTTTGCTATCTAATGGACCAACGTCCGTCCATTACTTTTGTTTTTAAAAAAATAATTTTTTTTTTTTTAATTTTTAGACAGGCATCCATGCCCGTCCATAGTAAATAAGCACTCGTCTATATAAGATGAACGGATGTTCATTATTTTTTTTAAATATTTTGGTCGGGCGTTCATTATTTTTCTTTTTAAATTTTTTGGATGGGCATCCATTTCGTCCATAGTAAATGGACACCCTTCCATATAATATGAACGGGAGTCCATTAAATATGGGCGGATGTCCATAAATATTGGACGATCGTTCATTCACGAAAGACTCCAACGTAACCACATCTGACTGATTGTCATGTCCTTCGATACAAAAATTCGGTATAAAATTTCGGTGTCCGTAGCATTACTTTATTGTAAAACCCCATAATAAAAAATAAAATATATAACATTGTATTAAAGTTGAATATGAAAGCTTTAATATAAAAATGAAATATGAAGCATGACTAGCCGTCAAAGAATTAAGAAAGAAGTTCCAATTGATATTCATGAATAATCCCTGTATTGTTTACTTTAAAAGATGGCTTATCAATTTGTTAAGGTATTATATTGGGGCAAGTTGTGAAGTCAATTAATGTGCAAGTAAATTTAGCTTACATTTCCATCTTTAAATAAACATATTTGTGCGCCCTCGCGGCAATCACGCATTAATCAATCTGAAAATTGGAGTCTCTGTTTGAATATAATAAAGAGTAAACGGATATTTTTCCATCCAAATAATAGTTTAATGATATATTTTTCGCTCATATTTATATTCCGTTTCTGATTCCAACATCGTTCTGACCTCATACCACTACTATTCTTTTCTGTGATCATCACTCACTAAAACCGTTCAAACCTTTCTCCTGTTAATACCGCCAATCATCGGTAATTGAACGATTATGGTTTGTGTAACTGTCTCTCCCAAGTGAAATAGCAATCACTTCCAACTATCAAAATCCAACCTTCTACTATCAAAATACTCATTTGTCTCCGTTCTTCAAAAGCACTAACAGTTTGAGTCGAGTTTGTTATTTGTTCGCTACCAAAATATAAATCTGAATAGTAAAGTGATATTTTAAAAGTTTGTGGATGAGCAAGTGTTATTAAACTATTATTTGGATAAGAAAAAATCGTTAACTCTATAATAAAGAAAGTAATATATAAATGGCGAGTTGTCATGAAACAGTAAATGTATTTGCTTGACGGAAAGTAGCCGCCAGTACAATTAATTTCATATTTTCATACCTAAAACTTTGATAACAAGATTTTGATTATTTTAATTTATCTGATAAGCAGGTGGCGCTGACGCCTGCAGCATCCTTTATGGTATATGCTTAATAATATTATTATTATAATTCTAATAAATACCATAATGTTACGTTGCTTGTAGCAATAGTTAACCAAAATAACAAACTATATTTTCATTATGCAATACTCCACTTAGGAATTGCGTCATTTCTTTTGTCTTTTGCATTTGAGTAGTTAAAATTATTTAATATATGATTTCTACCAATCTAGTGAATTTACTTGAGAGTCTAGTCGTTGTTGAATGGTATGGAAAGCTTAATAAATCAAAGTCTATTACAATTTCATTGAATTAGAGTTGCATGGGGAAGAAGAATTGAGAAGACGTTACTTTAAGCTGATTTACTGGGAAATCTCCTCATAACATTTTTTTGACTAAATCAAACATTCAGAAACCCAATAAATGTAGAATGTTCTAGACACTACTTCAATTGCATTTGCATGATGTAAGCAATTCGAAACCTTGGCTCCATTATTTTCTCCCCATGTTGACCTCATCAGGACCATAACCATAATATTAAAAAATGAGACCTACCACAAAATGAAATCTTAAATAATTAGTAATATTTATTAGAAAAACTTGGTTATATACCCATCTCCAAAATGGAGTTATTACCGAATGTGATATGATTATACTGTCTGTATTCTAATTAATTGGTGAAAAACTCATCAATTATATGAATAAACAATTACTTTACTAGTGTATTAAGGCTTAAAATTGAAGTTCAATTTCCAAACACATGATGAAATTTTGGTGCCCAACCTTTCAACATCTATCGAATAATTGATAAAATCAATGAATTCCCTTTAGATTTTTTAATGCACGATTGATAAATATCCCACTTCCAACCCCACTCTGTCTATTTTTTTATATTGAATACGACATTTAAAAATAAATTGTTACTCTCGATAAATATTTTACTAATAAAAAAAAAAAAGCACTCAAAATTGAGATAAAAACCCATGTCTGACCTGCAATTTTTTTTGTAAAGCATCATCATCTTGACATCTACCATGCTATCATAGTGTTGGGTTCAGGCTGGGGACGTTGGACCTCTCCTTTTTCTTTACTTCTTTTTCATTTGATTGCTATATATATATATATATATATATAATATAAAATATTAAAAGGAAGGCATAATACAATACATGCAACAATTTGAAATCTAAAGTTATGTTTTGAATTGAGGTAATAATTCAGCAAATATCATTTTCTTTCCGTCCTTATAGTTTAATTGTTTGATATTCAAGTAATAAAATAAGAGGTCAACTTCACATTTCAGCACTTTAATTCAAATAATTATATCATCAAAATACATTAAGAAGAACAAATAAAAGTTATAACTTATATTGCATAATATATACATACACTGAAAATTAAAACTAGTTAATTTAATTCTGCTCCATTTTCCTAGCAATTTAATTCATTTTCTTAGTAAACAAGCAGAAAACGAAATTATCAAAGAAATTATTAATTTAACTTCGGAACCTTATAAAAATAGAAAAGACAGATCATCATGACACGGACCATTAAATAGCAAAAGCCAACCCTGCCCCCTCACCACCTCACCACCTTATAAACCTCTTCCCCTCTTTTAACCCTTTGAATAACCCATTAAAAAGAAGAAGAAAAACCCTTCAAAAAAAAAAAAAATAGCTTCCCCCACACCTCGGCGCGAGGTCCTTCAAGGACCTCAGCGGATGTCCCCCCGCTACGTGCCACCGCCACCACCACCACCACCACCACCACTGGCAGAACAATCATCGTCACCAGTCGCAGCGCCACCACGACACCGGACGTTGTTGCACAAACAACACTCGTGGTCGCCAGATATTTATCGGGATGAGGCCTGGCTTAGACGTAAAGGCAACATTAAAAACAAGAGAAGCAAAAGTGTAACCGACGAGGACCTTGATGAACTCAAAGCTTGTATTGAGTTGGGTTTCAGGTTTGACTCTCCTGAAGTGGATCAACGTCTGTCGGATACTTTGCCAGCTCTAGAACTTTATTATGCCGTTAACAAGCATTACAATGATACTGTTTCAAAGTCAACGCCGTCTTTATCAGCGGTGTCCGATTCTGAATCATCACCCTCTTCGTTGGGAAGTCCTCATACAATATTCAGATCTGGTAATTTTTATATTTTGTAGTTGTATTGATATTACTTGTTAGGTAAAAATTCTGAACTTTCTCGCTTTTGTTGTTTATTTGTGAAGGTGATAATGATCCGAAGACAGTGAAGACGAGATTGAGGCAGTGGGCACAGGTGGTGGCTTGCTCGGTGCGGGAATGTTCTTGACGATCATGGTGTTCATGTACATGTTCATATTCGTATTAGGGAACAGGGTTAAATGTGAACCAAACCAGAGTTATCAAAGAAACCAGACATAGATCAATATCAACTTGTTTGATTTGGTTGGATTTGATTCTCTCTTCCACCCACCGATTGCATAAGTTTTGTTTGTTTGGTTAGAGATTATAATTAAAAAAAACCCACCTTGCATTTGTAAACAGAAACTATATATTGCGGTGGATTGACTTTTTCGTTTACTTTTGTTACTTTATTTGGTAAGAAAGAGGAGAAAAATAACTCACCAAATCGGGTAGATGAATTTTTGTTTGTGTTGATTGAACAGACGTGGTATTAACCTAAGGGGTTGGTTTCCCACTTGTTCTCTTTCTTTGAGTTTTAAGTTCGTTACAATAATATGGTTATTTATCTAGTCTTTTGGATTTATAGGGTATTCAACAGATCCCGTGAATGAGTTAAAATATGCACAGACTAACATGAACACCACACAAACACTCTGGTTATCAAAAAAAAAAAAAAAAAAACACACGTATTGTTTACTTTACCAAGCTAAAATTAAAGAAACATAACATAAAACTCTTTCTTCCTTTCACTTAATAAGAATTCATTGGCTTGTTTTTGATGTGGAGGATTGATTCATTTCCTTTGATGGAGGGAAGGGATTTGAGTAAATAGGTTTAAATATTCATAGATGCCATGCCATAATTAGAACATTCGGGTTCGTTGGGTGGTAAAAAGAAAATATTCTATATGATGCTGGGTGGAAATGGAATTAAGCTTTAAAAAAGTTTGTCTCCACTCTCCATTCCTTATTCCTTGGTTCCTGGGAACATGCATCTATTTTCAAAACTTCTCCTCCACTTTTTCTTTACATCTTCACTAAATTGATTTTCCAACTTCGACTAGAAGGTGTAAAATGAAATTTGAGTCTTCATTGAAACGTGACGAGTGCAATTTCATATGATATGAGAATGCAAACTGGCTCCAGCCAACACCACTAACCATTGTCTCCATCAAAGTTAATGCCATCGATTGATTTGACTAATGCTTTCATCACCAAACAAACCACTACAAATGGACCCAACTCCCACTACAAATCACCCCTTTTCTTAACATATTGGGTCAATTGTGGGCCAAGGTCCAGTCTGCTTGTTCACTGAAATTCCCTGTCGCCACTGGGCTGTATGGCCTTCAGCCCAGCCCATAATAACTACCAAAGATTGGGTTTTACATTCATCTTCGGCTTTTCCGGGTTGTCAAGCATAAATCAAAGTTCATATAAAAACTTGTTACCTAGAATTTTAGTCATTCATCCAAGGGAATTTGACCTAAAAATTAATATTTTTTTTAATTTCTGGATTTTATTATATTATATTAATAGTTGAGAATTAGTGAGCACAATTTTGTTTTACCAATAGTATAATCCATGTTTTGTAGTTGTATGGGTAAAAAATCATACTAGGACCTTGACGGCCCAGTAATATTATAATCACTATACAGCCTAGTGTCTTGGCCTAACTCTGGTTGGTCCACACTACCATTACAGCCCAGAGCCTTGGTTCAACCCCGGTTGCTCCTGCAAAACAACTGTAACCTGAATCCGGTTGGTCTTGCATTGAAGCCCTTTCTTAAGAAGGTTCGCTCCACGAGCTTATCCAACCTCCAAATCGGTCCCTTCTATGAGTTTGTCCACGCTCTACGAGTTAGGCTACTCTACGAAGCCACTTCATGATCTGGGTCACGCAGCGAGCTGGAACTCTCTAACGAGCTGGGCTCAAAAGCAAGGCAAGTTGGCCAAAGGTCTTGAGCTCATCTAACTTCAAACTCCACAAGGGTCCTGAAGCCTTAAGAGTTCTAAGCTCCATGCAAATACTAGCTTGATGTAGATGCCTAACTCTGCAAAAAGTCTAGTGATCTAAGACTCCTAAGCATAGACACTCTCGGACACTTAACGAGTCCTAAAGTCTCATACATACTCTAACACCCACGGACTTATAGTCCTATCAAGATTCTCATAAATCCTGGTAGTTTTAAGTCTTACAACGACTTTCTTCCTAAAGTATTTTGGTTTCACATAAACTACTATTTATAAACATATAAGCCATAGAACTCTTAGTTCTACTAAGACTGAAACCTTCACGGCTTGCTATAAAAGCAAATGTCTGCCCTCTCAAAATAGACTCATGATCCTTTGACTCACTTATTCAACTGATAAGTCTAGAATCCAAGCATTCTAAACACAAGCGTCATATAATTCTCCCACCTTTAGTCGTCTTTTGCTGTAGAATCTACAGTGAAATCAGTTTAGCCTAGCCTCGAAACAAGGTAACATTCCTTAACCTTATTTTCGCTCAATGTTCTGTCGCAACCTTGTTGACTTGAGGATCGGAGTGCCTACAGTATACACTATATAGTGTCCCCAAAGTGCTTCACATTCGTTTTTCGTGTCGCTTTACAGGAATTCGAGGTTGTTAGTTGCTCAACATCCAAGCTAGAATTCCTGGTATATTTTATTGTCTATAGTAGTAGTCTAAAATTTGTTATTCTTTGATTATTATTTTCATTATAATTATTGCAATTATAAAATTGCATAGAGGATAAATTTATTGAATTGTAAAATATATGAAAAAAGTGAGTAAATTAATAATTAGTTACTGAATCCTAACTTTCTTCAAATCATTTTAGAGTTATTCTATTGTGATTAAAAAACAGAATATGTGTTTGTTTACTTATTGGGATAATTATTTTGAAAATCAACCTGAATCAAATAAGATTTTTTCTATTGAAAATGAAAAGTGGGTGAGAATTGTTTTTTATTATCCTATTCTAACATTTATCCAACTCTATTCAACTAAAAATTATTACATTTCACAATAAAAATTTATAAATTAACAAAAACACTTCTACCCCACCCAAGCCACTACTGGCCGCCAACAACCACCATCGATCGCCACCGCCAGCCCCCAAAGCCGGTACGACGCACGACTAGCTAGATCTGACCATTCATGCGCTGATCTTGCTGTTTTCGATTAGATCTACGGCCAGAGATCTGGCCATTGATGGCCAAATTTTGGCTGTTAACAATAGTTAGAGATATGACTGTCAACGATTGCTAGATTTTGACCATCATTGACAGCTTCATTTTTAGAGGTATTTTTGTTAATTTTTAAAGTTATATTGTGGAGAGTGTTTAGCTAAATTAATAAATGTAGGGGTTTAAAAAATAACCTAAATATTTTTAGAGTACGTTTTTAAAAAATGTATCAAACAATTATTTAACATTTTATCTGACTCTGATATAATTTTCAAATATTATACCAAATACATTGTCAAAATCTTATCATATTTTTATTTAGATAATTTTTCAGAATAACATTTTTTTCAAATAACCTACCAAACATGTCATTACATATTAGAAAACACGTTTCATTGTGGTTGGGTGTGCCATCGAAATTAAGGATAAAAGAATAGGGGCCTTTTAACTTTCTCTCATATGGGTAGCTTTGATTGTCAATGTTTAATTCATGAATCATGAGGCATTTGATAAATTTAATAATGAATAAAACAATGAAAACGCATAAACTATTGTTAGTTTTCTAGAAACCTGGTTCTTCTTTGTCTGCACTTCCACAAAATAGTGTATATTATTGCGTGATTCATTTCTCTTTTTATATTGGACTCTTTATCTTATGCTTTTAAATTTGAACAAGTCTTTCTAAAAATTCCAACTCACAAATTCATCGATGCAAGCAACCCCTTTTCATCTCATCAATCTTTTCTTCAATTTAGTAATAGAAAAAATAAGAAATCAACAACAGTGCAAAAAGAACAGAAAGCAGATGTTTTTAGATATATAAACAATTGAAAATGAGATGTTTTTAGATATATAAACAATTGAAAATGAACTACTTTTAAATAGTTTAACGGTTCACTTCTTTTAAGTGTATTATTCAAAAAAAATTGAATTCAAATCTATAACTGTTAATAAAGTAATAAATGATAGCTAATAAAGACTTGTCTAGTCGTTAATTTCAAAGTTTTGAAAGATTAATCGAATTACACGTAAACTGATTTGGACACGCCAAAAAAAAAAAAAAAAACAACACCAATTGAAAATGAAATGGTTTCGAGAAAAAGAGAAGTACATGAATCTAGAATATATCGAAAAATAAGAAAGTATTAGTGCGTGCGATTCATATATGGGTTGATTGTGACCATACAGTATAATTTTCTGTCGCCTGCACTTTAAAGTGATGGGGTAACTTGTTTCTTTGAATGCCAAGATTGAATTTGTATTTGTAATCTTTTGTAATTGTGACTGTCATTGTCCCACTCCCATCGGAATTTCCCACTGCTTTTATTGATTCAATTGAACCTTCGCGGAATACAGGGATTGGTTTTTTATTTTTGTCCTTTTCATAGTTTAAGTAAAGCTGTTTAAGGGGTTTATAATTACGCAAAACTTAGTGGACCCTTTTCTAATTCTTTCAGTCATGATGACCTTCCATTTTGGGAACTTTTTATTAATAAACATAAAATAATCCTTTAACACGTTTCCAATCAGATTCAAACTACTGGATTTCCATTTCTATTACTATTTCCTGTCTTCTTTTTTATTTTATTAATAAAACAATGAGAAAAGAAAGCAAAGCATACAAGACGGTAGACTAAATATAATTAAGTAAAAAAAATAAAAAATGTACATATCATATCACCCTGGAAATCTGAGGGAACATCATTTTCTTTTAAACAATTCTCATCTATCTTATTCTTAAATATTACGTACCTTTCATCATCTCCTCTATTCTCCAAAAGACGTGTCTAACTCTAACTACAGTTTGAATTTTTCCTCCAAACCTACTGTTCAAAAGATTCATTCAACATGGAAATATCGAAATCATCCAAACAAAAAATATATATAAATTTGTCCACAACGGATAACTCTATCTGTCTATCGCTCCATTGGAGAGAAAAAAAAAAAGAAAAAAACAAGGGCAATATTGCTTCGTTTACCTGTAGCCTTGTTTATTTTTTCATAATTTTTTATATTAAAAAATCAGTCTTAAATCTCAAATTCCATCCCAGTAACATCACCAGTAAAGCATCATGAAGTTGTCTTGAAAAAGAATTAATTTAACGCTTATGACTAGTAAAGTTTGAATGAGTTTGCATTGCTGCAACTTTCCCTGGCATTTACTTCTTCTCTCTTGTGTTTGTGTAGCA